ACAGCAGCTAAACACACAAAAGGATTTCCGCAAAAAAAAAAAAAAAAAAAAAGGCAAACCAAAAACCAGCCTCCCGCAGGGAAAACAAGTGTAGGGGCAGGGGCAGGGAAAGCCTGCTTCTGGGGAGCCCGGCCTAGTTGTGAGTCAAGCCGTGTCCTCCCTCGCCTCCTGGCCGGTCTGCACCTCTCTGCCCTCTGCTGCCCCAGCTCCTGCAGGCCCCAGACCGGCAAACGCAGGTGTTGCTCAAACGTTTGCCGGGTGACTCATTCACACTCCCAGACAGGGGGAACAGACAGTGATTCCCAGGAGTGCCCAGAGTCCTGATTTAGGAAGGAGGGCTGAGTAGCAGCAACATGTGGGCCAGTTCCTGCCCAGCCCCAAGGTCAGCTGAAAGATACACCCCTCCCCCAACTCCATCCTTGGAGCTGCTGGGCTCAAAGGCAGGGAAAGCTGGACCAGACCACTTCGAGCAGGGAGCAAGCAAGAGGGGGCAAGCTGTAACTCACGCAAATTCAGTATCCATTGCAGGGGTGCTTTCCAAAGTGGGACCATTGTCGAGATGATTTTACAGGAATCCAGGGTGGGGCATAAAATAATTGGTTCTAGTACAGATTTGTGCTCCAAAATGGATGAACCTTGAAAACATGATGCTACGTGAAAGAAACCAGACACAAAAGACCATCTGTACGATTCTATTCATATGAAATGTCCAGAATAGGCAAATTCATAGAAACAAAAAGTAGATTAGTGGTTGCTTTGGGCTGGAGGGGTCTGATGAGTGAGGAGTACCTGCACCTGGTACGGGATTCGTTTTAGGGAGGGGACAAAAAGTGTTCTAAAATTAGACCGTTGGATGTTTATACAATCCTTATGAATATACTGAAAAGGGCCGAATGGCACACTTTAAATGAGGGATTGGTATGGTATGTGAATTTTATCTCAATGAAGGTGTTTAAAAATATATTAATAACAGTCAGTTCCCAAATGGAGAAAATCAGTCCTCTTTCAAGTCCCTTATAATTCTTCCAATTTGTCAAAGAACAAGTCTCCATCAGACTCAAGTGCTGCCTTACCATCTCTCAGATACATGCTAATTTCTTGTTTGAAGGAGACAAGAGCAGGCTTCATGCTCAGTTCTTGGGCAGGAAAGATCTACCCAGACTTGTTTGGTTTCCATTATATTTATTTTTCTGATTGCCTTCAAAGTATGGCAACTGATCATTCATCTATTCATTCATTCATTTATTTATTCAACAAATATGTACTGAGCATTACTGCATGTTCTAAACATGGGGGTCACAGCAGGGAACAAGAGAAAAAAAACCTGCCCTCATGCAGCTGATGTATTACTCATGCAGGGAATCTTAACAGGAGACCTTGCTCTTGGGTTCGAATCCCCCACTCTGCCACTAACTGTGTGACCTTGGACAAGTGGCTTATCCTCTCTGTGCCTCAATATCCTCACATGTAAAATGGGGATAATAATTGCACCTAAGTCAGGATCCAATGAGTCAATGTGTATAAAGGGTCGGGACAGTCTTTGGCACATGGTAATTATTTTAAAAAATTGGCTACTATTATTTATTTTTATTTCTAGTTGTGATAAAACATTTCCTCTTTAAACACATGTATTTAAGTGTAAGCTTCCTTTTAAAGTAAATTTATTTAAGTAAAAAAAGGTAGAGGTGGGGGCGCCTGGCTGACTCAGTCAGAGGAACATGTGGCCCTTGATCTCAGGGTTGTGAGTTCGAGCCCCATGTTGGGTGTAAAGATTGCTTAAAAATAAAATCTTAAAAAAAAAAAAAAAGTAGGGGTGGAGAGTAAAAAAAGAAAAAAAAGGCAGGGGGAGTCTGCAGGTAGGGAGAATAGCGTGAAAGCCACACGAGTATGTTTAGAAGATGAACTTTGGGAGGCCCTGAACTAGCGGGAGATGTCAGGAAGGCTATGACTCAGCTGGCCCTGAGGGGAAGCATAAAGCTATTTTCAGTGTCAACATAAGGACAAGGCTTGTTCCTCCAGTCTCACATTTGCATACTTCTCCCCACTCCCTCATCCTATGGGATCCCAAGCCCTGAGGGTTTCCCTGCCAGCCAGGGAGGCTTTGGAAAGAGGGGATCTGGACAGGTAGGGGGTCACGGGCAGGTGCTAGATGAAGACGAGGCTGTGGACCTCAGGGCAGGAACAGTCCCGGAGCTGCCTGAGCCTCTCCCAGGTCCCTTGGCACCGGGGGTGGCCGGCTGCTTGCCACTGCAACAGCTGGTTCCTGCAAGACACGGGGCTGGCTCAGGGGCATTAGGACTCTCCTGGGCTCCCGGAGAGAGTTTGTTTGCCTCTGTGCGCCCTTTCCACCGTGCAAAAGAAGGTTTTAAATTCACAGTTTATGGCTGTATTGTACAAAGACAAATATAATCCAAGCTGGATTTATAATTAGATCTTCATTATCATTATTATGGTTACTAATCTTTTTTCTTCTGATTCTAAAAGAAGTGAAAATTAAATCATTTTCATGGCCCCTAAAAGTGTGCGGGCACTGCAGCCTGATAGAGAAGTTGACCCTGAGCTGGCTGTGGAGCACGACCCCAGAGGCCACAAAGGGCAATCCAGACCCAGCTCTTAATGTCTGGTGAGATGACACTGTCACATCCCTGCTGGGCAAACTGGGCAATTTGCTTATTCCCTGCATCCCCTTCTCCTCCTGCTGGAAGGCAGCACAGTGGACATGATTAAGAACACAGACTCTAGAATCAAGGATATGCGTGACCCAGCTCCTAGGAGCCTCCATTTCTTCAGTGGAAAACAGAGATATCCATATTCTTCACTTCTCTGAAGTATCGGGAGGGCTCTATGAACTGCTTTGTGCAGAGAAAATGAAAACGATCAGGATGTGACAGCGAACCATTTCGGCAACAGGAACAAACGATCGAATGCTACAAGGAGCATTCCTTTAGCCAATTCTCTGTAGATACAATTCAAATCTTTAAAAAAAATGCAACATAATAAAAAATGCAACATAATAACTAACAATAATAGCAAACACTGACTGAGTGCCTATTACATGCCAGGCACTGTTCTACCCGTCTAAGCACAGTGCTTGGCACATAATAGGCACTTCACAAATGATAGTATTTAAAGTTACCATTATTTTTGTCATCCTCATTACATAAAATGGCATTAATGCCCCTTGTCTCAAAAGGGCTTGTGAGGTCTGAATGAGATCTCACATATAAAGCACCTGCTTGGCACCCAGCACACAGTAGGTGCATGACTATAGCAGGTGTCCCTTGTGCTTGTCCCAAACTCACAGACACTTCTCAGGCTAAATAAACCCTCCTGAAATCCCCAACTGACAGGCTAATCCCTCCCCAGGCCCGTGCCCTTTGCATGCCCGCCCTCCCCAGCCGCCCACGGAAAGAATCTGGCTGACAGCTTGTCTCTCTCCTCGCTTTGATCCCCCTCCTGCCCAGTCCTGCCTGGTGAGCTCATGCCCCAGTCAGACCTTCCATCACCTGTTCTGTGAGCCTGGCTCCAGGCGGGGTGGGGGTGGGGAGAGATGCCTCTCTCTGGCACAGCCTTGGCTCTGCCTTCCAGGCAACCCATCCCTGGGGCAGGGGTTCCCGTGACCCCCATGTCAGCCTCACCAAAGTGCCATGTTCCTTATCCTGGACTATTTGCATCCAAAAGAGAAATCGGAGATTCATCAGAGTTTTAGGGTTAGAAAGGTTTATCCAAAAATAGATGGATATAAACTGAGGCTCTAACTGGTGAGCATCTAAGCCGAAGAACAAATCTGTAATGGGAAAATTTGGGGTCTGAGACAGGTAAGTGGGAGAGAAGTTGGAGGGGGTGGGCAGAGAGGGCCTCCCTAGAATGTAATAATATTGACTGCCATCTATTTATTGCATACCTACTCTGAGGCAGGGTCCTCACATCCGTTACACCTCATTTTCACAAAGTACTTATTATTATACCCATGTTATAGGTTAGATGTAACGATAGCAGCTTCCACTACTAAGCATCTACGAGGGGCCAGGTGCTGTGCAAAGAGCTCCGGATCCTTCCAACAGTCTGAGTGGTGGAGCCTGTCAGGGTCAGAAGGCGGGCTCGCCCAGAGCCACACAGCTAGTAAGGGCCAAAGGTGGGCTTTGAACCCAGATCTGTGCAGGCCCAATGCCTCTTGTTCAGACACATCTGTCTCAAGAACCCCATCTGGCATTGGCATTCCCTGCTTTAGGTTTGCAGTGAGCAGGGCTGCTCACTTTTAAAAGGAAGGAAATTAATAGCCTTGCAAATGTGAGAATAAATCCCTGGACAGACCCCAGAAGAGAGCTCTTGTATAATAACCCCTGCCCTGGGAAAGCACTGTCAGTGGGAAACAGTCTAGTCTCTAGAGCTTGGCCCGGGGATCTGATCAATGCAGGTTCAAATCCCGTTTCTGCCACTTGCTGAGTGTGTGACCCTGGGCACCTCTTTGCATCTCCACCTCCCCACCTGGAAAGAGGATCCTCAAAGTGTCCCCGATGAGTTCTTGGAATGTTTCAATGGCATCACGTGTGTTAATGATGCCACTCCACTTCCTTCCACACTCCCCCTTGTTCACTCCACTCCGGTCACAATGGTGGCACACTCTCACCTCAGGGCATTTGCACTTGCTGTTCCTTCTGCCTGGAATATCCTTCCCCTAGTTATCCATATGGCCACCCCCTCATTTCCTTCAGATTCCTGTTCCAATGTCACCTCCTTAGTGCCACTTTCCTTGAAAAATAACAACCCCCGCCCCGATTTTGCTTTCTTCCCTAACGCTTATCTCGCATCTGACAAATTACAGATTTACTTGCCTAATGTCTGTCTCCACACAGCAGAATGTTGTTTCCATAAGAGCAGGGACCACATCTGCTTTGTTCGTTGTGTCTCCCTGGCACCTAAAACATTGCCTGGCATGTGCTCAATAGTAAGTGCTCAACAAATATTTATCGAATGAATGAATTTTTTAAAAGGAGTTTAGGGCGCACCTGGGTGAATCAGTCGGTTAAGCGTCTGCCTTCAGCTCAGGTCATGATCCCAGAGTCCTGGGATCAAGCCCCGCATTGGGCTCCTTGCTCAGTGGGAAGCCTGCTTCTCCCTCTCCCTCTGCCTGCCGCTGCCCCTGCTTGTGCTCACTCTCTCTCTCTCTCACTATCTCTCTCCCTGTCAAATAAATAAATAAAATCTTTTAAAAGATTTTAAAAAGGAGCTTAGAATAATGCTTAACACATAGTAAGCACTCAATAAATGTTAGCTACCATGATAATTAGTTTATTAAGTATTCTCTGAGACACCTGCCCTTGAGGGAGGCAGTCTAAAAAGCTGATATAAGCCAAATCTGGGTCAAATCCTGCTGTGTGATCTTGACTAAGTCACACTGCCTCTCTGAGCCTTGGTTCTCCTACCTATAAAGTGAGGGTAGCCAAAGCAGGCTTTTAAGGGACTCGGCAGGATTCAGTAATAATACCAGCTCCCTTTTCCCTGAGTGCTTTCTGGGTGTCAGCAACTATGCGATCTCTTCAATTTGCACAATTTTGCTTAACCTTCCCCGTTAGGCCCTCTAAGCTGCATTTTCAGTTGAAGACATTGGAGTTCAGAGCGGGACCCACCCCAGCCAGGAATCAACATCTCACTCCTACAGCATCTTTGTCGCTCTGGCAACAGAGAAGTCCCAGGCTCTACAGTCACAGCTCCCCAGGCCCAAGATCTACTGCTTACCCTCCGGCCCCGCCGACATCCCCGTAGCAGCGCTGGTTCCTGGCGTCCGGGGCAGGCCACTCACACCTCACACAGACCGTGTGGCCCTGGGTCAGATACCTTGTCCACTGGGCGTGGGGCGCCCTCACCTGCTGGCGGCTCTCTGGAATGGGCCCCAGCAGGAACTGAAGCAGTACCTGCAGCCACACAGGGAGACACCACCCCCAAGCACCTGTGAGCATTTATGGAGCACCTACTGGGTACTAGCCTTCTGTAGGCCCAGCTTGGTACAATTTCTGCCTGAGAATAGAAACCTTTTGGGCAGCCCACTCTTCACCAACAGGTCACATGCGACAAGAGACTCCGCTCAACTCTTTAACATCATGAGGACTTCCATGCGTCAAGCCCCGTCTAAGCATCCCATCCAAAAGGCTGTGTGGTTTATTTCTCAGTCTGTGTCCCAGTCTCACGCCAGCCCCAGGAGGACCGGAACTCCTGTTTGTTCTGGTCACGGTTGTGTCCAGCTCCTAGAATAGTATCCTGCTCCATAAAAATGCGCTGAATGAACCATTTAATACAGAAACCCGGAGAGGTAGGTGTTGCCCCACTTTACAGATTAGGAAACTAAGCATCAGAGAGAGAAGTTGCCTAGAGTCACACAGCTACTAAGTGGTTGTGCCTAAAATGGAACCACCCAAACCCAAAAAAGCCCACAGTGACACTCCGAAACGCGCCGCGGCATTTTATAACAGATCCGATTTTATAGAAAAGATGCGTCGTGAGAAGTATTTAAAAGGGCAGTTCCACATTCCGGAGGATCTGAAGTAAGAGCCAATTACGATTTTACTTCTACCCAACTTTCTCTACAATTAGCAGTCAACGCCACCCCCGCCCCCATCCTGCTGGAAGAGACGCCGCCGGTCAAGGACTCCGGGGAGACTCGGTGTGGGGCTGCTGCCCCCTGGTGGCTGCAGCCTCTGGGGGGCCTGAGGAGTAGACCGTTTGCCAAGACAAGCCAGAGCTGCGCTCAGCCCCTTCCTCTCTGAGCTGCCCCAGAACCCCGGGGGAATCTGTCCCTCACCAGAAGCCTGTGGAAATTGGAACGTTTGTCTTCCCAGCACACTTTCGCTCCACCTTTCGGTGGTTTATTTGGAGACTTCTTGCCCTCACCCTATGAATACCCTACAAGTATTTCTGTCTTTTCTTGTTCTTTGCTGTAGCCCCAAGGCCTAGTCCAGTACCTGTCATATAATGGGCATCCAATAAACATTGAGTGAAAGAATGAGTGAATGAATGAATGAAGTTGAATGGAGACCAGTTATTAAGGACTTCAAAATCCATGTTAATGAGCTTACAAAGGTAACAGAACAAGAAATGGGGAGATACTGATGCCATCAAAGCAAGAGAGAGAGAGAAATGATGGCAGTTTAATCCAAGGGAAAACGTTCACAAATTTAGCTTGACTTGGGTTCATTTGCATTAACTTACCCTACTGTCTCCTGCTCCTTGGGGACACCTCGCTTTTTCTGCTCGTTCCCGTAGCTGCCTGTGGTTATCAGAGCAGGGACTGTGGACCAAGGAGAAAACAAAATTAGGTAGCCCAGCATCCCCCAGACTATGACAACACAAGAAACAGGGTTAGGTCCTGCTGATGTTTGAGCTCTTTACATGGCAGCCCAAAGGAGACTGTGGGATCTTGCACCTGGGTAGGTGGTCCCCAAGAGTACCCTTTATGTGATGCTGGAGGCAGGGTCAGATCCATCTCTGCCACTCAGGGCCTAGCACAGTGGGTTGCATAGTGGGTCTAATAAAAGTTTTTCAAGTGAATGATTTATTTTTTTAAAGATTTTATTTATTTATTTATTTATTTATTTTTTTTATTTCAGAGAGAGAAAGAGAGCACATGCGCATGGGCAAGGGAGGGACAGAGGGAGAGGGAGAGAATCCTCAAGCAGACTTCCTGCTGAGTGCAGAACCCAACTTGGGGCTCGATCTTATGACCAGAGATCATGACCTGAACTGAAATCAAAAGTCAAATGTTCAACCAACTGAGCCATCCAGGCGCCCCTCAAATGAATGATTTTGATGAATGAATAAGTGAGTGAAAAAGAGTAGATAAAAGTTCATAGCTAAGTGAATGGATGAAAGAGAAAGAAGAAAGAAAGAAAGAAGAAAGAAAGAAAGAAAGAAAGAAAGAAAGAAAGAAGAAAGAAAGAAGAAGAAAGAAAGAAAGAGGAAAGAAAGATGGATAAGTAGATGGGGAAATGGGAGGATGGCGAAAAGCAGAGAGAGAGAGATGATTGGTAGAAGAGCTGATGACTGGAAAGAAGGATGGATGGACAGATGAACCAATACAAGAAACAGATGGACCAAAAGGTGGACGGATGTATGGATGAATGAATTAATAAAAGTATTTTGTTGGGCCAACTTCCAAGTCTCTTCCTTCCTGGAGCAGACAGAGAACAAAGAGGAGGAGAACAAGGAGTCAGTCCAAAGGGGGTAGAGATTCCTCAGGAAAATAAAGAAGCCAAAGGACATCCCTACCTCTCCCCATTCCCTGAGTGATGGAGCTGAATCAAAGATGCGGTATTGAATTAATGCTTGTGACCTAGACAAGGGCCACACCAGGGATCCCAGGCCCCTCTCCCTGCTGCTGCCAGAGAGACTGGGTTTGGTCTTTGCCATAACACACTTAATACACAATTTCCCTTACCTCCTCTCTTCCAGCATGCATAGTGCTTCTTTTGGTGCAGCCTACAGTGAGGAGAGTCCAGAGAAACCCAGGTTCCAGCTCTCCTCCTTACAGCTGAGTGATCCTGGTCAAGTCACTACACCTTTCTGAGCCTCAGCCTCCTCATCAGCAAAATGGGGATAATATTAGTACGTATTCATAGAGTTATGGTCAGAGCTAAATAAGGTGATTTACAATGAGCCATGCCTCTTGGGCAAGTTTTGTGCCTCCCTGAGGCTTGGTTTCCCCTTCTGTAAAATGAGAATAGTAACACTGGCCTCACAGAGTCAAGCGATGTGGCAAAGTGCCTGGCACCTAGGAGGGGCAGTCAGAAAGGTCTTCCCGGAAAACTGACATCTATGCAGGAAATGAGCCGGGCAAGGTCAGATGTGGGTGGCAAGGGAAAGGGAGCAGCATTTCCACCATTCCCTCTTCCATCACCCTCGTCTAGCCACCACCCTCCCCCGCCTGCACTCCTGCGGCCACGTCATCCCTGGGCCCCTTGCTGCCCTCTGACCCTTTTCAGTCAGCTGCCCCCACAGCACTCAGAACGATCCTTTAAAACTTAGCAGAGGGAGGAAGGAGATGAGGCCCCAGGAGACAAAAGCCAGAGCACTGAGCTTAGAGACCTGATGAGGAGCTTGTGTTTCGCCCTGAGGGCGCTGGGTAGCCACTGGAGGTAGCAAGAGGATGACACCATATAAGATTTGTTGTAGAACAACCTCCCCTCCCACCAGGCTGTAGTTAGGGAAGAGATTGGAAGGGGACCATTTAGCCCTGCTGCCTGCTCTTCTACCACCTCAGAAAAACAACTTCCAATGTCTTGGTCGATTTGTTTTGTATAATGGGCATCATCTATTTTTGCGGTGCTCTATAAAAGCTCTTCGTTGGGTGTATGATGTAGCCCACATCTACAGTTCTGCCTGCCTTGCATCCATTCTCCCCAGTTATCCTTTGGAAAACACCTCTCCCTATCCCCATTCAGGTGGGGTTGACCACACCCCCAGCTGCAAAGGGAGCCCACATCTTGGGTTGGCCAATCAGAATAGTCCATCGCTCTAGCCTTACTGATTGGTTTACCAGTGGATATATGACCCAGGTCAAGCCAGTGAGACTTCATCCTAGGACATTGGCTAAAACTATGGGAAAGGACCTTTTCTTTTTTCAGCTGCTGGTCTAGTTGGAGGCAAGACGGGTGCTATCAAAGACCATTACAGGGGGAAAGGCTGCCTGAGAATGAGGCCAGCTGGAGGAAAACAGAGCTGAGAGATGGAGAGAGATTCCTGGGACCATTGCTTGAGTCCCTGGATCCAGCCATGCCCGAATGCAGCCCTTAGAATTGTGTTTACATGAACCACACAGTGTTGCTCAGGTCAATTTAACATGGGTTTCCTACCACCTGCATACAAACCAAGTCCTGACTGATTCACACTGGAAGATGAGTAGAAAAAAGATAGGAGATGCCCACAGGAAGTCAGAGTTTCTTACCTCATTCATAAGATGAAGAGGGCAAATCAAGGTAAAGGAAGATAAAATCCTACCCTAAACTCGGACCCCACACTCGTGGAAGGCTCTCAAGTCCAGCCAGGGAGTTCCCACGGACAGCTGCCCCACCCCTAGGGGCCACTCCAACTCACGTAAAGGCTGTTGGCACTCCACTCTCTGGCGGCCGCGGTAATCCACACAGCCAGCCGGCTCTTCCAGCGGGCGGCGGGGAGCACACCCGTTCCTTGGCTCCGGCAGGACACGCCTCCGGCGGATGCGATAGGAGATCTGGCAGGGCTTGACACAGCAACTCCAGCCATTCCACTCTACCACAAACAAGAGACCCCTGGAAGAGAAGGCGGCGGGGGGGGGTGTCTCCAAGGTCACCTCTATGGAATTTGGCAGGCCAGCCGCCAGGCCTTCCTCACAAGCCAGACCCCTCAAAATACCACATGAGCGCTAGAACTCTTGCAAACCTGAGTCCATGCCTTGCTTGAATTTTTCTCTATGACAACTGTTTATACGTCTAAGTAAACTTCAAATTCCATGTTTTATTTACCCATCATCCTGCTGGAGATCATTTGGGTTGTTTCCATCATTCATTCCTCCAAAAAACATTTCCTACGCTCTTAACAGCACCCGATTTCACCTCTCCGTGCCTCGGTTTCTTCCTTCGTCAAACAGGAATAAGAACAGTATTCATCTGATTGGGTGGCCTTGAGGATTCAGTCAGCTATGAACGTAAAGCATTTGCTCCTGGCACATAGCAAGTGCTCAGTAAACACGAGCTTCTACAGCAGTGAAATGAAACACAGCTGCACGACCAAAAACATGGAGTGGAAGGAAGCCCCTTGCAGGAGCTATTTCTGGTGTGAGAGTATTCACATACAGTTTTAGAACCTGCAAAACAGTGCTGTACAGTGTTTAAGAATTCATACAGGTCTCGGGGCGCCTGGGTGTCTCAGTCGTTAAGTGTCTGCCTTCGGCTTAGGTCGTGACCCCAGGCTCCTGGGATCGAGCCCCACATCAGGCTCCCTGCTCGGCGGGAAGCCTGCTTCTCCCTCTCCCACTCCCCCTGCTTGTGTTCCCTCTCTCGCTGTGTCTCTCTCTGTCAATTAAATAAATAAAACCTGAAAAAAGAAAAAGAATTCATACAGGTCTCATATATAGGAGAATATAAATGGCCGATCCTTGTTATTCACAGATTCTGCATTTGCCCATTCACCTTTTGCTAAAAATTTATTTGTAACCCCCAAAATCAATGCTTGAGGTGCTTTGGCAGTTATTCACAGACATGTACAGAGCAGCAAAAATTTTAAGTCACCCGATGTGCACGTTTTCAGCTGAGGTCGAACTGGCCCAAGCTGCCTCCTTGGACGGAGGCTGCAAGTGGTGATGTGAAGCCCTGGGAGCTTCAGTTCCACAGCCAAGTTCAAGTTCAACCAGGTCTGAATCTCAATTCTGTTCTCTGGTAGTGTGGCGGCTTTGGACCAGCCACTTCACACATCTGAACTTTGTTTTTTTCTTTTGTAAAACAAAGAAAATAGAATCTACCAAAATGGGTTGTTTTAGGATTTAAGATTATAGTGTATGTGAGATCTGTGTGTACTTATTTCCCCTAGGAGCAATGGTTCGGTATTCATTAATTGAGTGTTTGCTGCGATTTCATGGAACATAACTACTGTGAATCATGAGAACGGTCTCTCTCTCTCTCTCTCTCTCTCTATACATATATATGCACATCAATTGTATATATTTATGGATGTAAACACATGCATACCTATGCATGGGGATTGTAAATACCAAATTCAGCAGAGTAGTTACCTCTGAGAGAAGGAAGGAGGACTACTGGGGTGAGGGAGGGGAACGCAGAAGTATCAGTGGCGTTCATCAAAGTTTGCTTCTTAGCTTTTCATGAGGGTTTGTTATATTATTCTCACATTGCAGTATGTCTGAAATAGCTCATCACACTAGAAGAAGAAAGGCGCTGGGTGTCAATGTCCTTGAGATGCTCATGTGCCTACCACAGTTGGGGGCCTAGTGGGGAGGTATTTTCTGATGATGGAGCCCCCGGGACCATCAGCATCTTCATCCAAGTCCATAGTCCCAGATCAGGACTGGACCAAGCCAGACAGAGAAGGCCATCAAGCCAAAACACAGGATCTGAGGACTTCACCAGGAAGAGAATTTCTACAGATGTGCCAGCAAGCCAGCAGTGACACACACACACACACACACACGCTCATGCACACACAGGCAGCTACTACAATAAGAATTCATTCACTCGCTCCACAAATTATTTACCAAGGGTCTGTCGTGAGCCAGGCACTGTCCTGGGTGCTGGAAACACAGTGGTGAACAAGAAAGAGGAAGTCTATCCTCCTGAAAAGCACTCATCAGCTATGAGACATGCCCCAGTTCAGCAACATGAAAATGTGAAGAGGAAAAAAAGTGTGCATCCTTGAACTGATGGAATGAGGTTATTGTGTTACAAACACAGACAGCGTTGCTTCTGACACCTCAGGAAGCCACATGTTCCTTGCATAGATCTCAACTCTTAGCAGAGTTGAAATGCTCAGAAGAAGGAAAGAAGGAAGGCGGGAGGAAGCGGGGGATAAAGTATGACAACCTCACATCATTGATTACTTTCGCCACCCGCATAACAATGACAGCACTATGTCACTGGTGCTGGACCAAGCAAGTCACATACTGACCTCACATCACTCACGACAATCTTAGAACGTTGTGCTCTCCCAGATCCTTCTCTGTCCTGTGCCTTCAGGAAACCTGTGCATCACAGAGGCTCCCTGGCCCTGAGGCTGCCAGTTGAGTTCAGGCAATGGGGGAGGGGGCGCACCAGCAGGGAAGTGTTTATTGTGTACCCCCAGCACCCCCCCACCCCTGCCTCAGCCTTGTTCCTGGGTTGGGGAGCCTCAGCCATGGCTCCTGCTCTCACCAGGCTCCAGAAGACCATTTCCTCCCGCACCCTGGCCCTCACCTTTGTGAATAGAGCCCTCATCAAATTCTCTTCCATTCAACTGTTCTGGGTGTACCATCTGTCATTTGCCAGGACGCTGGCTCCAAATGTATTTGCACTATTGTCAAATCCATCTCACAGGGGAGGCAAGTGGGGCTTAAGGGTGTGGAATATCAGAGTCGAGGCAAGACGTTGGCATCAGACAAACTTGGATTCAAACTGCAATCTCACAGGATTTGGTGCGATGACAAATTAGAAGCGCTGAGCAGATTGTAAATGCTCAGTACAACAGGGGGGTCTTGATGCATTTATTCAACAACTGTTTAGGGCCTACTGTGCGCTAAGCACTGGCCTGGGTGCTGGGAACAAGAGGAGCAAAGCAGAAAAAGCCCTGCCCTTGAACAGCTGACGCTCTGTGGGGGAAACAGACAATAAACAGTATATTATTTCATTGCAGTGATTGATGCTCTGACAACAAAGCAGAATAAGAGGGGTAGTGGTGGGGTGATTAGACACTTTTAGATGGAGGAGCCACAGATGGCCCCCATGACAAAGGACATCTGAGGAGGCAAGGGAGGGGGCTGGGTAGGCATCTGGGAGGAAAGTGTTCCAGGCAGCGGGAACTGGCAGTGCAAAGGCCCTGAGGCAGGGTCAAGGTTAGATGCCGAAGGGACAGTGAGAAATACAGTGTGGCAAGAGCAGAACATGCAGAAGGAACGTGGTAGGAGGTGGTGTCAGAGAGAGAGGAGCAGTGATAGCTTCCAGGGCTCTGATGACTACTGGAAGGAATTTGGATTTTATTCTAAGCATGAAGAGCCATTGCCAGTTTCTGAGCAGAGGAGTGATGAGGTGATCCCATTTCAGGTTTGAACAGGATGCCTCTGGCTGCTGGAGAGGGGTGAGAACAGAAACAGGGGGACCAGCAAGAGCACTAACGCAGTTGTCCAGACAAGAGAAGATCATCTACAGTAGAAGGAGCTGCTAGAAGAAATGAGTCCTGTGTCACTGGGCGCCTGGGTGGCTCGGTTGGTTAAGCGACTGCCTTCGGCTCAGGTCATGATCCTGGAGTCCCGGGATCGAGTCCCACATCGGGCTCCCTGCTCAGCAGGGAGTCTGCTTCTCCCTCTGACCCTCTTCCCTCTTGTGCTCTCTATCTCTCATTTTCTCTCTCTCAAATAAATAAATAAAATCTTAAAAAAAAAGTTGCTGTGCACTTTAAAAAAAAAAAAGAAAGAAATGAGTCCTGTGTCACTGCAAGTGCTCACAGGGTGGCTGGACAACCTGGCAGGGAGACTGCAGATCACCTTCAGGCACTGGCTTGGCAGCTGGACCCAGGTTCCAGGGAAAGCACCAAAGATCCCCTGCCCTGCCCCGCCGGGCCTGCCAAGCAGGTGAGAGATTTTGCAGAAAATTAGGCAGACGCCACCTTACAAATATTCTTTCCATGTTGCTGGCATCTGTAAAGTCACCAAGGAGCATGCACACATGACACTCCCAGGGCAATGTCATTACACTTCCCATAGGCCTAGGGTCATGACCTTAGTACACTCATGTGATTATTTGTATTTCATCAGCCTCCTCCAGTAGAATGTCAGCTCCACCGGAAGCAAGGTCCTTGTTGCCTGCTGAATCCCAGCGCCAAGCACAGTTCCTGGCACACAGGGACTCAGTGAGTAACAAACGAGCAGAGCAAATCTTGCCTTAGCAACAAAAGAAATAGGACCACAGGTTGGCATTGCAAAAAGGTACCACAAGATGGCAGTGTTTCTCAAAACAAAGGCCATCCCCCTCTTCTGAGTAAAGGAGAAATTCTAGCTTATCAGTGTAGCTTAAAAAGAGGGGTGGGGGTGGTTTAAGGTTGCTCACCCAGCCCCGCAGATCCAGATAACATCATGCCATCTGAGCCTGCTGGAGCCACACTGAACTTCCCACAGTCCCCTTGGACCCCCTGCCCCTACTCCGACAGCCCCAACTCCTGAGGAAATGCCTTTCTGGATGATCCAAACTCCACCTGCTTCTCTGAATCTCATTGCCCAGCCCCCTGACTGTCCATCTTTCTCACTGCCCCCCAAAAAGACTTTTCTGGAATGCAGTTCTAACTCTAGCCTGTTGCCTGAAATCCTTTGGTATTTCCTGTCTCCTATTGAGGTGGTTCACAAAAGGTCTTTTTTTGATAGTGGATCAGAGAGATCCCCAAGCCTAGTAGCTAAAAGTCTTAAGTGTTCCTACAGCACATCTGCAGTCTCTCCCTCCCTCCTCCTCCCATTTAATATCTCAGCACGCTTTCACTTTGGGTCTTCTGAAATGCACCGTCTCCCACAGCTCAGTTTTGGCCCGCTGTCATTTCTACCCTCCCAGCCTCCCTACCCTCAACTTCTGGTAAAACCAACTCAAGTTTTCTTTTGAGGAACCAACCCTCCCCACTCTCCGTCCACAAGGTCTGAATAGGGCTGACTTCACTCTCTCGTTCCTAGGATGGATATGTGACCCAGACGTGGCCAACGGCACGTTCCTTCTCCCTAGCTCAGTGACCGATTGGGTCAGGGATGAGCATGTGACCCGATGGGGCCTAACAGAACCATCCCTTGGGTTTTTTGGCTGGAACAACTGGGAAAAGAATGCTCTCATTTCAGTAGGTATACCAGTTTGGAGCTACTGGGTACTAACTTTGCCACCACTTGGTGACTGTATGCCTGAAAATGAAGCTAACACAAGAAGAGCTGTAAAGTGGAAAGAGATAGAATCCTGAAGACATCCTTGGATTCCTTGGATCCAGCTATACCTGAAGTCAAAATCCATTGACTGTTTTTCAGTTACCTGAGCCAACAAACCCTCTTGTTCATTTACATCAATATGAACTGTGCCACAACCCTAAGAGAATTGATTAGTACAATGAGGACATTGATCCTTACAGGGTTGAAGGGAGAATTAAAGAGTATAAAATACATGAACACATTTGGTAAAGAATGTGGAAAACTTGAAGCTATCCTTCAAGGCCTTACTAATAGCTTCAGCCCCACTCTCCCTGCCTTCACCCCATCCTCACCAATCATTGCTAAGTCTCCTCTTGCTCTGACTGAAATTCTTTATTTCTTTCATAGCCACCCTGTCTCCCAAAAATAGACCGTACACTGGAGGGGAAGCAGAGCTCCATCTTTCTAGCGCTGACTGCTTCTAGCTGGGCTGGGCACACAGCAGGTGGCCACCTATTGCACTGAACTGGATGTGGGAAATGTCAAGGGCTCCTCTTTCACCTGTACGGCCAAGCACACATATAATACTGTGGTCTGGAGCCAGACTGCTGGGGTCCCAATCCCAGATCTGCTGCTTAATAGCTGTGCAACTCAGACCAGGGCACTACCTCTCTGTGCCTCTGTTCTTCATCTGTAAAATGGACTCAGCAATACCATCTATTCTGTAAGATAGTTATGAGGCTTAAAGGAGACCATTTATTTAAAGCACTTACAACAGTACCTCCCTGGCACTTGGTATTTACTCAGTAAATGTTAGGGGGGTCTTAGTCATCCTCAACATCTCTGCCTGCCATAATCAATTACTGAAGTCAGTAAATTTTATTTATTTTATTTTTTTTAAAGATTTGATTTATTTGAGAGAGACAGAGATAGTGACAAAGATAGTGAGAGTGAGCATGAGCGGGGAGGGGAGGGAGAAGCAGGTTCCCTGATGCAAGACTCGATCCCAGGACACTGGGATCATGACCTGAGCCGAAGGCAGACGCCCAACTGACAGAGCCACCCAGGCGCCCTGAAGTCAGTAAATTTTAACTCCTAAATGTCTCATGAATAAACATACACTCAGGGCGCCTGGGTGGCTCAGTCAGTTAAGCATCCAACCCTTGATTTCAGCTCAGGTCATGATCTTGGGGTCATGGGATCCAGCCCTGAGTTGGGCACCATGATCAGCACGGAGACTGTTTGTCCCTCTCCCTCTGCTCCTCCCACCTGTCTCTCAAATAAATAAATAAAATCTTTAAAAAGAAGAAGGAGGAAGCGGGGGAGAAGAAGGGGAAGGAAAACACATACACTCTTCTCTCCTCCCCATCTCGTGCCTCCTGACTGGTCCCCACGACCCCTCCTGCCCTGCTCCCTGGGGGGGGGGGGGGGGGGGGGGGGGGGGGGGGGGGGGGGGGGTGGAGGGAGTGAACCTCTCCCTGGTCCATTCACAAGCCCTTGACTCCGCCCAGGCCCAGACACAAGGGCAGGTCCTAGACCTCCTGTCTTTTTGCTGCTTTCCCAAAGGAGCAAAACAAAGAGGAAGGCAAAGTTTTGAGGCTCCTGGGCCCCTGAGCCCAAGCTCTTTATGCAAAGGAAAACGCTGGAGAGCTGATAACATCGTGTGATTCTGTGGGTGTGGGTCAGACTATGGGAAAGTGGCACTGATCCCTCTGCTTGGTCCTCTTCCTGGGGCCCCCACTCCTGGGCTGCGGCAGCGGAGCCCCTATGGGTACAGGGGTACCAGGGATGTCAGACCCAAACTCTGAATGACCCCAGGGCTGCACGCGCTCTTTGTACAGGAAGTAGACGAGGACAAAAGCTGGTCCAAAACAGTCCTTCAGCAAATTTAATCTAGAGGAGCCTCATTTGCTGTGATTTAGGATTACACCATACCCCAAATGATTTTTTCCTCTCCCTGTTGCCTGAATGTCCACCATTAGCCATTCAAACTTGTGGGAAGCTAGCACTAGGAGCTAGAAGACGTAGGATCAGATCCAGATCCAAAACCTGCTGGACCGGGCGCCTGGGTGGCTCAGTTGGTTAAGTGACTTGCCTTTGGCTCGGGTCGTGATCCCGGAGCCCTGGGATCGAGTCCCACATCAGGCTCCCAGCTCAGTGGGGAGCCTGTTTCTCCCTCTGGCTCTCTCCCCTCTCATGCTGTTTCTCTCTCGCTCTCTAATAAATAAATAAAATCTTTAAAGAAAAAAAAAAAACCTGCTGGATCACCTTGGCTGGCCAAAACCGTCTCCTCTGAGCTATGCTTTTCTCCCCTGCTGAACCCCAGCGTGCTGGGAGAAAGTAGTCTGATTTGATGGGACACCCAGTGCAGCCCATGGGCACAGAGTAGGTAGGTAGATGATCAATAAATATTAGGTCCCTTCAATTTTGGATTTTTAAAAATTGTCCTCTTTTAAATGTAAATTCCTGAAGGAAGCCCCACTGATGCCTCAGGTAGAAGAGTTCATTCATTTTTCTCCCTGACAAAGGAAAGTTGGATCACATCCACTTTACAGGGATCCACGATTTAGATTTTTGTCCCCAGTGGATGTGAAAAATTTACTTCTGGAATATAAACAGGGTAGAGTCCTTCCACTCACAGACTCCAAAGCAGCCCCTTGGGCACCTGGCTGGCTCGGTCAGTGGAGCATCCCTCCTGGCCCCCTATCCTTGCCCTAGCCGGTTGCCAGGTAAAATACAGGACGTCCAGATAGATTCGAATTTCAGAAAAGCAATCAATTTTTTTAAAGAAAATTTTTAAAGATTTTATTTATTTATTTGAGAGTGAGAGAGTGAAAGAGAAAGAGCGAGAACTCAAGCTGGGTGATGGGCAGAGGGAGAGAAAGAAGCAGACGCCTGGCTGAGCGGGGAAGCGTAGGCCGGGCTCCAACCGGAGATTGCAGGATCATGACCTGAGCCAAAGGCAAACACTTAACTAACTCACCCGGGCGCCCCAAGCAATCAATTTTTAACATAGGTATGGCCCATGCAATGTTTAGGATATATTTAGACTACAAAATATTACTTACTGAAATTTGAGTCTAACTGGGCATCCTGTATTTTTATTTGCTAAATCTGGCCACCCTACGCCAAGCCAAGCGCCCTCTCCTCCCTCCCACCCCTCGAAGCGAAGCTTCCCCAGCCCCTCTGACCGCCTGCGCACCCTCCTCCCTCCTACTCCCTTCGCGCTCCAGGCGCCCTCCTTACAGAGTGCGCCCCCTCCTCTCGCACCCCTCTGTGCCCCCACGTGCCCATTTCCGTCCGGCGCCCTGCACCCCGCACCCATGCTTAGCAAGCGCCCTTCTTCCTCGAGCCCCCCATCCTCTTGCCGCCCTCTTAGACCTGAGCGCAGTCCTCGTGCCGCCTCCTCCCAAACAGCCCTCAACTCTCCGCGCTTCCTTCTCCATCCTGCCCCCCGAGACTCGCGCGCCGCTGTCCACGACCCACGCATCTTTGTCTGCCCGCACCTCCACAGCCCACTCTTCTCCCCCGTGTCCTGCGCGCACGAGACCCCCCCCGTGCTCGCGCGCCCCTGCAGGCCCAGAACCCCTCGGTGGGCGGTTTCCTTCCTTCCTCCGCCGCGCCCCCAGACTCCCGGCCCCCCCGCGCCCAGCGCTCCCCTCCTCCTGCGCCGGGAGCGCACCTGGGCTGACCCGCGAGTAGTCCGGGGAACAGTCCGGCACCGCGTCACACGCCTGGTCGCAGAAGCAGCGCGGGGGCCCGCGGGCGACGCAGGTCGGATCACTGCCCGGACAGCAGCGGCCCAGTGCGGCGCAGCCCTGCCCAGGCCATAGCACTCCCGACGGCCTCCGGCCCCAGGACACCTCGGACACCACCGCCAGGGCAAGCGCCAGGGGCAGGATCCGCGCGGCGCTGCGCAAGGTCATGGCCGGGCTCAGGCTGGGGACCGGACGAATGCCGACGGGGACCGACCCTACCTGGCCCGCCCAGTGCTGGGGCGGAGGCTACCGGCCGGACCCCTCCCCAGACCCACCTGCTACCTGTCACGGAGCTGCAATCCACCGCCCCCCATTCGTCCTATCCAAACTTCGCACAGCTAGCGGAACCAAGATGACAGTAATAATGACTGCAACAACTTTGCAGGGTGCCCCACTGCCCCCAGGTTCCAGGGAGACAGAGGAAATACAGAGGTTCATCAAAGCAGTGTACTATAATAGATCACAATAGGACTGCATGTTGTTATAACAGGAATAGCCACTAACCATAATTATAATAGCGATAATACCAACAAAAGCTGCCAATATTATTAAAATAGCGATAGCCAGAATAATTGCCAGGAAAGGAGCCTGGGAGCCAAGGTGTGTACCAGGCTCTAGGTGCATAATCAGTATTGTCCAAACATGTCCCTTGGATATGCCTTCATTTTTTGCTATATCCCTAACACCTTGATCATTATTTGCTGAATATTTTTCTTTGAATAGACTCACTTTTAAAACTTAAAGTAGTTTGTTTGCTTTTTAAAAAACTGTATCACTCAAGATGATGAGAAGACAAGCCATAGACTAAGAGAAGAAAATTGCAAAAGACACATCTGATAAAGAAGTATTATCTGAAATTGACAAAGAATTCTTAAAACCCAACACCAGGAATAAAAAAACAACAATGGACAAGGGGCATCTGGCCGGCTCATTCCGTAGAACATGTGACCCTTAATCTCAGGGTCATGAGTTCAAGCCCCAAGTTGGTTGTAGAGATTACTTAAAATAAATAAACTGGGGGGGGGGAAAGAATAAAAATGGGCAAAAGATTGAAACAGACACCCCCACAGAAGAAGATATTTGGATTGCAAATAAGCATATGAAAAGAGGCTCAACATTACGTGAGGAAATTGGAAATTGCATTAGGAAATTGCAGAGTAAAACAACGAGATACCATTATGCACGTATCAGGATGACTAAAATTCAAAACACTGACAACACCAAATGCTGACAAGGATGTGGAGCCACAGGAACTCTCATACATTGCTGGTGGGAATTCAAAATGGCACAGCCACTTTGGAAGACAGGTTAGCAGTTTCTTACAAAACTAAATATAGTCTTAGCACATGATCCAGTAATTGTGCTCCCTGGTATTTACCCAAATGAGTTATTTATCCGAATGAATTGAAAGTGTGTGTCCATTCAAAAACTTTCACATGGATGTTTATAGAAGTTTTATTCATAATTGCCAAAACTGGAAGCAACCAAGATGTCCTTCAGTAGGTGAAGGGTTAAATAAGCTGTGGTAGATCCAGACAATGGAATGTTATTCAGCACTAAAAAGAAATGAGCTATCAGGCCATGAAAAGACTTGCAGGAAACTTAAAGGCGTGTTACTAAGTAAAGGAAGCCAATCTCACAGGCTACATACTGTATGGTTCCAACTATATGACATTTTGGAAAAGTCAAAACCATGGAGACAGTAAAAATATCAGAGGTTGCCAGTGTTGGGGAAAAGGAGGGGTGAAGGATCTTCAGAGCAGTAAAACTATTCTGTATGATACTCTAACAGTGGACACATGCCATTATTCACTGTCAAAACCCATAGAATGTACTGTTAACACCAAGAGTGAACCATGATATAAACTACAGACTTTAGGTGATAATGATGTGTCCACGTAGGTTCATGATTGTAACAAATGTACCACTTTGGTGGGAGATGTTGATAGTAGGGGATGCTGAGTTTGGGGGGGTGAGCAGGGACTATATGGGAACTCTCTGTGCTTTCTGTTCAATTTTACTGTGAACCTAAAACTGCTCTAACAAATAAAGGCTATTTTATTTATTTGAGAGAGAAAGAGCGTGAGCAAGGGGAAGGGCAGAAGGAGAGAGAGAGGGAGAGAAGCAGACTCCCTGCTGAGTGTGGAGCCCAGTGCAGATGCAGGGCTCCATCTCACAACCCTGAGATCATGACCTGAGCCAAAAGCAAGAGTTGGTTACTTAACCGACTGAGCCACCCAGTCGCCCCCTTAATTAAGTCTATTTTATTTTAAGATTTTATTTATTTATTTGACAGAGAGACACAGTGGGAGAGGGAACACAAGGGAGTGGGAGAAGGAGAAGCAGGCTTCCCATGGAGCAGGGAGCCCGATCCGGGGCTCGATCCTAGGACCCTGGGATCAGGACCGGAGCCGAAGGCAGAGGCTTAATGACTGAGCCACCCAGGCGCCCCTAGTCAAACCTATTCAATGGCAACTGGCTTATCCCAGAGCATTGTACCAAAAGAGAAGGGGGCAGCTGCAGGGCTTCTTAGGACGTAAGCCTCGGAGGTGAGGCACGTCACTTCTGCTGCGTCCTATTGGTTGCACAGAACCGGCCAGGAACGGAAGTGGGCGGGGCTACATGAGAGTGACTTGCAGAGGGTGTGGTTCTTGATGGGCCAGCGTCGGAGGCCAGTCCCTGCGATGTCGCCTGCCATTGGGCACTTTCTTCTCTTAGTCTGTGAGCGGTTCTTCCTCATCTTCTGGCTTCAAAATAAACTCAGACCGGGGCCACTTCTCTATCTATGCTCTTCCTTTAGTGATCTCATCCCTTCTCATGGTTCTAAACACTTATAAGCTGACAAGTTCTGAATTGACATCTCTAGCCACGACCTCTCCTCTGAAGTCGAGACTCCGGTCCCCAGCTGACCGCCGACATCTCTGCTTGGGTGTCTCACAGGGAAGTCAATGTTAGCAGCTCTAAAGCCACCTTGCACTCCCTGCTCCCAGACACTTAACTAGTCACCATAGGGGACTAGCCAATAATTGCACGTAAAAAGATACTCAGTATCATCAGTCATTAGGCAAAGGCAAGTTACAATCACAATGAGATACCACTACCCATCCATGAGAGTGTCTAAAATGAGAAAGACTGGTCCTAGCAGGTGTTGGCCAGGATGTGGAGCACAAGGAACTCTCATACACTGCTGGGGGAATGTAAAATTCGGTAAACCACTTTAGAAAACAGTTTGGTAATTTCCTGAGAAGTTAAACATACACCTGCTGTATGATATATGATACCACCCAGCCACTCCACTCCTAGGCATTTACGCAAGAGAAACGAAAACCTTTGTCCACACCGAGACTTGTCCACAAATGTTCAGAGTAGCTTTATTTGTAATCACTACAACCTGGAAACAATCTAAAAAGTCCATCAACAGACAAATGGAGAAACAAATTGTGGTACATCCATACTACTCAGCAGTAAAAAGGAACAAATGGATGGATCTCAAAATCATTATGCTGAATAAAAGAAGCCAGCCCCCACTCCCCAAAAAATGACTATGCACTGTACGATTCCATTTACATAAATTCTGGAAAATGCAGACTAATTTCTAGTGACAGAAGAAGGTCAGTGGTAGGGGAGGGAGAGAGTGGGGACTGCAGAAAGGCACAAGGGTAGATAATAGACATGAAGGATGATGGATACGTCCACTATCTTAATTGTGGTGAAGATCTCATGGGTGAATTCATAGGTCAAAACTAATCAAATTATATACTTTAAATATGTGCCATATAGTGTATTTCAATTATATCTCAAGCAAGTTGAGAAAAAAATTGACTCGAAAGAAAAACCAACAACAAAAGACATGTTTGTGAGAATATCAACCAATTTAACTATAGTTACTTTCAGGGACTGGGAAGCGGGGGCAAGAACCATCACTTGTTACATTCCATGAAGCTTTCTGGCTTTGTTTACAACAAGCATGGATTACTTCTGAGTTTAAGAAAAAGAAGAAAATACATCTTTTGACCCAAGCCTCAGCCCAGGGCTCAGGAGGCCTGTCACTTGCCCCCAAATGGACCAAGTTGTGCTGCCAAACAAAGTCACCTCCTGGATTTGAACCAATGGTTTCTAGGGGCCAATTCCCAACCAGAGACAATGAAAAATGTGCTCCTCAGAACAGGTACTTTATTTACACCTTATATCTATATTCTGGACTGGGCCCTGGACAGAATGATTGCCCGGGAAGATAATGGAGTCATTAATCTCTACCCAAGACTGGGCTCCCCCTGCTAACTTCCCATCTGGATAATTAAACCAACTGACAGCCCTGTATCAGGTTCTGTGGCGTCTGTGGGGCAGAAGACAGGGCACCTCTGGCTGCCACACTCAGCTTCTCCAGAGGGTTAAATTCCTGGGTGACTTTAGGACAAGCAAGCTGAGCCCAGGCTGGGGTTCTCAGCCTTGACTTGGCTAGGTCCAGAACTCGGGCAAACATGTACCTCTTGGCATGTCGGCGGGGGTGGGAACGGCTGTCTGAGCTTATGTTTGTGTGGTTGCCCATGTGTGCCCTTCTATTCTTCCTAACTTCACCCTAAACATTGGTTCCTTTAACACCACAAGGGTTCCCCACCCCACAGCTAGTCCATGTCTCCCACCAACTTTCTTTCCTCCTCCATAACCAGCACCAAGATGTTACAGGGAAATGCTCCCCTTTCTGCCCCCAAATCAAGAAGGTTAATTTTTTTTAAGTTTTTATTTATTTTTAGTAATTGCTGCACCCAATGAGGGGCTCAAACTCACGTCTCTGAGATCAAGAGTTGCTCACTCTTCAGAGCCGACCGGGTGCCCTAAAAAGGTAAATTTTGATTCGACTTGGCCCTCACTACCCAGAGCATGGTCCAACATCAGCATCTCCTGGGAGCTTGTTGGAAATGCAGAGTCTCAGGGCCCATCCCAGATTTACTGAGACAGAATCTTCCTTTTCACAAAATCTCTGGTGATTTGAACACATTAGTTCGCAACCCTGGCTGGACATTAGAAGCACCTGAAGAGTTTTTTCATAACTCCGATACCTGGGATCTTTCGCCGAGATTTTGATTCAATTGATCTGGAATACGACCTGGACATCTGTATTTTTTTTTTTTTACAGTATAACATACATTTAGTAAAATGCACTAACT